CTTTTAAAATGATCTTTGTGAATCTGTCGTTTTTATTCTCTTGCTATTCATGTTTTTTTAATTATTTGACTCCTTACCTGCTGCTCCAAACTACTTTTGTTTTTGTTTTGCTCTGATGTTTTTCTAATTTTTGCCATCTTCTGTTGTCCTGCTGCTGAAATGTACTTTATAATAAATAAACTTGCCTCTTCTTTTTTGTCTATTTACATTATAGAGACATAATAAGCTCCTAAAATGATTTCTGAAGCAGTTCTATCTACATATATGAAGGTTTTAAACCTACCTTATCTGTTCTGCTTCATTCATGCGTTAATGTGTTGTTTTCCAGGGAGCACCAATGTTGGAGAGCAGCTCCCCACTGGCCAGCTGTCAGTGGTGCCATGGCGACGCACCGGGGTCAAATACACCAACAACGAAGCCTATTTTGATGTGGTGGAGGAGATCGACGCCATCATTGATAAGTCGGGTAAAGCTTTGCAGGTGAAGCAGCTTTATGCCCATTTTGGATTCAGAAGCACTGAGGATTAATCTATCAACAGGTTCCACCATCACGGCGGAGATTCAGGGAGTTATTGACGCCTGCGTCAAACTGACGGGCATGCCTGACCTCACGCTCTCCTTTATGGTTGGTTTTAACTGTCTGTCTGTGGAAATAAGGAGCAAAAAGGTTTCCTAACTCACTTAAACGTGACCCATCATCCCTCCTGTCCTCTCCTCAGAATCCACGGCTGTTGGATGATGTCAGTTTTCACCCATGTGTTCGGTTTAAGCGTTGGGAAGCTGAGCGGATCCTTTCCTTCATCCCCCCGGATGGAAACTTCCGGCTTCTCTCCTACCACGTCAGCTCCCAGAAGTTAGTGTTGATAAAGTCGGCATTCAGAAAGCTTTACAGGGTCTTCAGTAAAGGATGTTTAGGATTTGAACTTTTTGACATCTAGTCGCTTTAAACCAGAAACTTCAGTTCCCTCTACGGGGATCTCTAGTGATCGATCGATACAAAGTTCTTCATAATCGATTAGAAGGAAAGGAGAGCGGCCGTGAGCAGTGATTCTGATGTCCTGCCAGAGTTTTATTGACTGACTTTGAGCCTCTGCACCAGTCTGGTCTTTTTCTGCCTCTAATAGTTTATTTTTATTTTTGTCTTGTTTGGCCTTGCTTTCAATTAGGTCTGAAAAAAATAATCAATTATTGTAATAATCATCAACTAATTTAGTAACTGATTAATCGTTAACTGGAGTATAGAGACTCTAAAACATGTCTTTGACAGAACAACTCACTTAGAGAAGTAATTATATCAGAAATTTAGGACAAATATGTAAAAATGATGCATTTTATTAAAAGATGCTTCAGTCAATACATCAAGAACTGCTCAAGTGGAAAAGTTTTATTTTTACCTGGATTAAGTTTGTATAAAAATATTTAAAGAACCTTTGGTTATCCAATTATTATTCGAAAAAAATAATCGACAGATTAAATGATTTGCAAAATAATCGTTTGTTGCAGCCCTAGTTTCAATCTATCCGTCTCTCAATCAACTTAAAAAAAACAAACCCCTAGCATGATGCAGCATGTTTCACAGTTCTTTTTAAATGTTTTTTTGTTTAATCAGGTTTTTAGTCAGGGGTTCCAGAGTAAATGCAACTCTTCTTCCTCTTTAAGTATCCACTGTATTGCTTTGGACTATCTCATATAATCTCATTAGAATATCAATTTCTAACTAATTTGCTTAGTTTTTATCAGTGTGACCCTTTGTGGATTTTGCTATAAACATTCAAACTAGATCCTGTCTATATATTTACTACCTTTCTCAGGGTTTCTGCGGGTCATTAAAAGTCATTAAATTATTATTTTTTAAATTAAGGCCTTAATTGGCATTAAAATTCATTAAATTTGATAATCGTGGCATTAAAATGCTTCGGAAAAGAAGCTTGAGGTGGAGAAAAGGCTAGAGAATGGGGAAAATGCAAATTTGAACCAAAGTGGCGGGAATGCAAATTTTTCGGGACATGGCTGCAGCCTGTCCATGGTGAAGATGGTGAAGGATTTTGCAGTGTATATATATATATATATATATATACTGTATATATATATATAGTGTATATATATATATATATATATATATATATAAGTCATGGGTATTTGTTGATGGCATTAAGATTATTTCTAAGAGCATTGAATAAAAGTTACACATTCACGTATTAACCCTGTTTCTCCCACAGCCTGGTCGCCATCCCTGTTTACGTCAAACACAACATTACGTTTCGGGAGGGGAGCTCGCAGGGTCGCTTCGACTTGACGCTGGGCCCCAAGCAGACCATGGGGAAAGCTGTGGAGTCGGTCCTAGTCAGCAGCCAGCTCCCTCGAGGGGTCCTCAACGCCAACCTCAACCCTTCCCAGGGAACGTACACTTTTGACCCCGTCACAAAGGTACTGAGGAATTGTTCCAGTTTGTGTTTTTAGTTTTTCTGAGCGCCCTCACTCCATATTAAATAATTTATGCTGCTGTTTTCATTTAATTGTTACACATTCTTCATGTTTTTTATCTAATCTTTTTGTGAATGGAAGCTGCTGACGTGGGATGTTGGAAAGATCAACCCCCAGAAGCTTCCCAGTCTGAAAGGAACCATGAACCTGCAAGCTGGAGCTTCAAAACCTGATGAGAACCCCACCATTAATATCCAGTTCAAGATCCAACAGATGGCCATCTCAGGTATCCCCCCCACACCCAGCAGCTGCAGCCTCATCTCCGTCTGTGAGATCCTTTATTTCACTTCACTACAAAAATACTTCAATGATCCGTTGAAGGAAATGGTTTGTTTGTTTAATCAGTGGTTGTGTATGTTAACAGCTGTAGGAGAACACATTCAGATTCCCATCTCCCTGATCTAAGATCTCCAATTGTTCATTCAGGACCTCACTTTCCTCTCTAGTGGCATTAAAACAGCTCTCAGCAGTTCCTCAGCTGACAACCACCTGACTTTATTTCTTTTATAGACATTTGTTCTGTGTCCACTAGAGGGTGCCAGATACACTAAATACGCACACTCAGCCATATAATACAAAATTGGCTTCAGTTATAATATTTATTCAGTTATTTATTTGGTGCCAGTTTATAACATGTCATCATAAAATCTCAGATAATGCGATCAAATCATGCAGACAGATTGTTAGAAGGTTTTAAAGTCACAGTAAAAACTGAGAGTTAATTGAAGTAAAACTGTGTTACTATAGTGTGGATAGAAGGTGTTGTAAATATGACAGCCATCAGGACAAAGACATAGAAAAACCTTTATGCTCATTTTTTTTTTTATTATTTCAATAAATTTTACTTAGGCTTCCAAACAGAGAAAATAATTTCATAACCAATAATACTTCAGAGTTCATTATGCCTTAACACTCTGAAAAAGGTTTCCTTTAAAGCCCGATCCAAGAATAAAACAAAACAGAAAATTATTTTTTTTTGGTTTAAAGTCCTTATTTTGCCTTTTAACTAAATATGTAAAAAGAAAAAACAGAAATACATTTTTGATATTAATAATTTATTACTATGCGATAAGTCAAGATTATTTTTTGTGTAGTCTTCTGCCCTGTTATCAGGTATATCTGATTGTGTACAATAGCATTTTGATCAAAGTTTTTACCGTTAAATTATGCAAAAGGTGTCAGACGCAAAACATTTCAGAAACCGTATGTATCAAATATGATACATTTGGCATTACAGGGATAAAACTGAATCTCAGCATTCTGATGGGTTTAGTTTTTGCCAAAACGTTGTATTTTGGTTCATCTGATAACATGATATTTATTCGATCCTCCTCTTGATCATCCATAAACTCTCTGGCGAACTTCGTTTGGCTGGTTCTTTCCTCAGCAGGGGGCCAAGCCTGGCCCTGCAGGATTGGAGTCCCTTTAGTTGTAGTGTGGTCCTTTGGTTCCAGCTCTCTGTAGATCCTTCATCAGGTCCCAATGTGTAGTTCTTAGATTTCTGTTCACTGCTTTAATGATCCTTTTGACCACGTGGGATGAGATCTTGCTTTGGGCTCCAGATTGAGGGAGATTTTCAGTGGGTTTTTCCCATAGTTGATTTATTCACCCCAGCCTGCTGCCTGTTGTAGAATCTCTCTTCCTCTGATGCAGGTCTACAGTTTTTCTCCCTGGTGTCCTCCAGCAGTGCTTTGGTCTTAGCCATGGTCGAGTTTAGAGTCTGACTGTTTGAGGCTGTTCCAGTTCAAACAGCTGCAATTAATACAGAAAAGGAAAGAGTTATAGATCTGTGAAGGAAAGACAAATATGTGTTTTCCACCATCATTTAGAAGTATTTTTTTTTATCCTATAATGTTTTATTGTTGTTCTTTTGTTTCTCATAGTTGAACTTTTCCTATGATGAAAATTCCAGACCTCTCTCATCTTTCTAAGTAGATCTTGCACAGAGAGTTGTTGATTAAATACTTTTTTTCCCTTACTGTAAGTGATTATTATTAAAAACTAAAATTGCTCTCACTATATTCTTTTCTTCAATAGTTAAAATAAAGTTTGGATTTCCCTAAAACATGCCATGTGAATTTATTCTTAGGTGAAGATTGATTTAAGGATTTTAAATCGTCATAAAAAAAATATAAATTGAATTTTATTAATCTCACAATGGAGAAATTAACTTTTTGCATTTAGCCCGTCCCCTTTAGGGAGCAGTGGGCTTCCACTGTGCAGCGCCCAGGGAGGGGTGCCGGTTGTGGGGGATCGAAACCGGCTACTTGCAATCTTCTCAGAGAACAAGCGCACTGCTCTAACCCACTAGATCAGGTGTCTTCAATGTTTTCCAGGCCAATGACCCCCAAACTGATGGCAAGATGGAGCGGGGACCCCCTAATTATATATATTGTATTAAATTGTGTTACATCCAACTGGTCCTATAGTTACTCTATTACATATGGAGTAATGTAATGAAAGTAATTCTCCCTGGGATTATTAAAGTATTTCTGATTCTGATTCCTGGTTGATGGGACAGGTGTTGTGAATGAAATGGTGCCCAGCTTGAAAGAGCTCCTGTGTGTCACATTGATGACTAAAGGACATCATCTGCCTCCATTTATCTGTTTACTACATTGTGTTTAATTCATGTTAATGTGGATTTGAAGACGTTTCAATTAGTGGAAAAAAAATGCAGGGAGGAATATATATATAAAAAAAAAAAAAAAGTCTAATTAACCAAAACTTTCGTGACCCTCTGTTGAAGACTAGGCCAACACTCCCCAAAGGGCTGTTGTTAGTTCTGTAGGAAGCAGTAAAAATATGCTAATCTGGGCTTTAGGTTTATCAGTTCTTTACATCTGTGATTATCGTTTTAGAGGCATATCTAGTTTAACTTTCTGTTATCTGATGCTCATCCGGATGCTGCAGCCTTTAACTGTGTTTCATGGGGCGACAGTGGCGTTGGATGTAGGAGTTTGCCCTGCAATCGAAGGGTTGACGGTTCAAGCCCTGACTCTGTCTTTCACTGTCGTTGTGGCAGCCCCGCTTCTGTCAGTGAGCCCCAGGGCAGCTGTGGCTACAATGTAGCTTGCCACCATCAGTGTGTGAGTGTGCGTATGAGTGGGTGAATGATTGTAGTGTAAAGCGCTTTGGTCAAGTCTCCTGACTTGAATAAAGGCGCTATATAAGTACATGCCATTTACCATTTACCATTTGTGTCCCTGAACAGGGCTGAAGGTGAACCGGCTGGACATGTACGGTGAAAAGTATAAACCGTTCAAAGGCATCAAGTATATGACCAAGGCTGGCAAGTTCCAGGTCCGAACATAAAGGCTGCTGCTGTGAGACTGCTGGACCAAACCATCATGAGACCAACATGGGGGGGATAGGAGGCTGGGGAGGGTAATAGGGGAGCTGGTAGATTCCCTGGGTCAATGCTTATACCTGCTGAGGTTCACTCAGACAAGCTGGAGGCTACTTGTAGCAGTAAGCAGAGGGACGTTTCCACACAGAAAGAAAAATGTTTGCTGCTCTGAATCTGTTAAAGAAATCTCTCCCTGAGCCGTCATGTCTCCAAAATTTCCTCACCAATAGTCACATGTGTTTCTTTTCCTTCTTTGGTCCTTGTTTTGTTCTTTTTCTAGGTCATTATAGCTCCTTGTCTTTTGTTTTTTTTTTTCCTTTCTGTGTCTTTTGTTTTCTTTTTTCTGTCTTGAACACTGGAATATTCTGACATCCTTATTTATATCTGTTTACAGCTGCTGGTACCAACATTTCATTGTGATGAAAATGGGATGGCAGCTAAAGTGTCACAGAAAACCTAAGATTAACGTCCGCCTCATTTATTAAGTTCTTGTGTTATTGGATTGAGCAAGAATCATTTTTAACTGTACTGGATCAATTGGAAGCAAAGAAGAGCATACTTTTTTGGGCTTTATTTAACAATAAGCAACTGATTGGATCTGAAAATTACATGTTCGACAGCTAAATGTTTTCTCTTCCTCATATTTCTCACTGCCAGGAAAAGGGTATAATGTGAATATATAAAAAAAACAAATGTTACCACAGCAACTGAGCTTATCTGACATATTTGCATATGTGGGGTGATTGATTCATGCCTCTGCATCCTCACTCTGCTTACTATTAAAGAATGATCTATTTCTGTAATATGATGAGTACCTCCAAGGAAATGTTGATGGTTTGCATTTTGTGTTTACAAAATTATATTTGTGTTTAAAATACACCCTCTGGTGGAGTGTTACGATGGTGGAATAAGAAGAAATAAAAATGTCACATGTTATAAATGAGTGATTACATGAATATATCTTTCTGTCTTTTTTTTATTTTTATTTGATTTTTTGTTTTTAATCTGATTCCATGCTCACACTGAGGAGTTTCTCTATCATTGCTGTCTTGGCTGGTAGCAGCATAATGCAGCAGGTGACGGTTACAATGAACATAAGAAGAAAAGTCAGATCAGGCTTAGATCCAACATGCAAATGCAACATTATCAATTGATCAGAAATTTTTTTTTCTTAAGTTCTTTTAATAGATTTATGGGCGATGCTTTACAGGAATCAGGCATTGAAATTTATTAATTTAGACTCAACTTTATTTATCCCTTAGGATTACTCCTTCAGGGAAATTCTGGTTCCAGTAGCTTATATAGAGTACAAAGAGTTAAAGCAAGATGCCATTAAAGATAATAATACTACAGACCATATAAAAATAGTGTACATTGTAGCAATACGCATAAATAAAAAAGTTATTGCACTTGCACTGCAGAAATGTAATAGAAGCCAATTCAGTACAATGACGATTCAAAGTGCTTTACATGAATTAAACAACATAATGGAAGGAAAATCAAAGCAACTAAAGATAGAATCAGCTAGTAAAGCAAATACAACATTTAGACCACAAACTTAAACTAATTACATTTCCATTTTAATTCCACATTTATGATTTTTTTTATTTATTTCATAAAGAGAGAAAAAGCATAGTTTCTTCTTTGCATGTGATGATCAGTTGGTTAGATGCTGACTTTTTCACCCCAAGCTGAAAAAAGTACAAAACACTCTTTCCATCACAGGAAAAGGCTAAATGTATTTTTTTTTTTTAAGAAAATCAAAATACAACGTTATAATAAAGCTAATACAAAGAATCCCAATTTATAACACTTTTCATACATCTAATCTAACACCTTGTGCAACGCCATGTGTTGAATACCCCATAGAGGAGCATTACCCTGCCTACTAAAGACAATTCAATCTGAAAAACTCACAAGAAGAGAAAAGACAATTAGAAGTCCAGTTTGGATAACACAGGTTGAGAGAACCTGTCCATGAGGAGCAAGCATGAAGCGACAGTGGAGAGGAAAAACCCGTTGGGAAGAAAAACCAGGTTCAACATGGCTGTCCTCTGCCGAACAGGTTGAGATGACACATGAAACGCAGTAAGAGTCTGGGAGAAATGACACTGATGAAGCTTTAGCTACAATGGAGGAGGAGGGGATGAAGGTGGCTTGAAACGGTGTCATAAGCCGCCTACGCACAGGAGCAGACAAGTTGTGGATCTGAGGCCTTTTAAGATGAACTTTTGATGCCGATTGGCTTTCGTGGAGGTGTGGTTCAAAGCTGATTGGCTGTGTCGCAGGTGGATGAAGGAAAGCAATGAGTTCCTTCAGTTTAACTTCCGCCTAGGCTCCATTTAGAGAAGGACCAAAACTGGAGCAGAAGCTTGAATGGGGGCTATGCTGATGTTTGGAAATGCATCAACTGGAGTCGTCCCATTCCCACTCGCTAACATGTTTCAGATTGAGATACTGCTCCAAAGAAATCTTTCTGATTACTCTAATAAAAAAAAGTTTCATATTAGTTTTTTTTTTTATTAATAAAAAAAAACGGACCCACAGCATTACCGGTCCTCCACCATACCTAAAAGTTGTTGTTTGTTCAGTTTTTTCCTTCCCTTTATTTACACAAGGCAACATAAATGCGGCTTCTTCACCAACTGGGTAATTAAAACAACCAGGCGTCTGTGAAACACCCTGTTTACACACCTTAAAATCACAGATTAGTAACTACATGCTCACTGACACTGATCTCATTCTAATATTTATTTTGTTTTATTAATTTACAGAGTGAGATTATCTCACTCTCTTAATGGGGGCCACATTTTACCATCATTTGTCCAAATCTGAATGACACCCTCTCTTATACAGTTTTCTTCTGTAGTTTAAAGCCTCTGTAGCTTTTAGACATGCAGCCCCTGCTGTCAGTGCTGACTCCAATGCTGTGGTATTTAATCTGCACACCCCCTCCTCTGACCACAGCCAGTCATTACATGTCCAGAGAGACCTGTGATCTGAAAGAGCTCCACTCCCTCGTCATGGTGCAAAAACATTGAAACCCACTCATGACATCACAGTTCACTGTTACAGACCCTGTCTTTTCCGCTGATATCAGCAACCACATCAAAGGTCTTCCGTGACTCTTCTTTCTGATCATCTGTCGGTGGCTTCATCACTTCCCCTCACATGGGGCCATTCTTTTTTTTTTTTTTTCCCACATGGGGCCATTCGGTCCCTGGGCTACTCGTCCTGTGACGTCACTCCTCCTCCCTTAATTTGCTCCACCGGGTTGGACTCCACTCCATAATTTCCTAACCCCTTCCAAAACTTTCTACCTTTGCTCTCCCTGCCTTGCCCAGAGCATCGATCAGGCAAAGTTCTGTCAGAGCCTCCTTCTTCATCACCTCCTCCTCTCTGGGCTGAAAAGAAGCGCAACTAAATATTTCTTAAGCGTCTGTCAGAAATATTTCATTCAGAGTGAAACTATTTACTGAAGAGGAGCAGAAACTTTGCTGGTAAGTTTGGTTTTCTTTTTTTCTTTTTTTGTTTTAAAAAAAACATAAATTATTTGTATTTTAGTCTGTCAATGTTATCAATTAACCTCGGCAGGAAATGTTAGGTTAAAGTTATTTTATGTATTAAAATGTTTTTTTTTGCTTAGGCAGTGTGAAAAGTTTTATTTTGATAAAGTAACATGTTGTTGTGTGAAAGTGTTGCTTTTGTCACCTGAAGTAATGGGCCGCGTGCCTTCACTCACAGCTCTAACTGGATTTTGTGTATCCGCGCGCTGATAACAGGCGGTATCCTAATGTAACGTCTGAAGGGAGGGTGTGTGTGGGGGGGGTGTTATCTCATTGCTTTGTTCTGTATTTGCCATACCCCCCCCCCCCCTGCCTGCGGGGTCTCTGTCAGAAAGCACGTGGACCAACTGTAATCATAACAACAGTAGCAGACTGGGAGCTGACAGTACGGAGGTGGCGTCGCGCGCCTCTTACCGACTTTTCCACGCGCGCGCGGATGTAACCACGTGCTTTAGTGATTTACAGTTTGTTGTTAAATGGCCCGACCGTTGAGTCAGCGTTTATCTGGCCCCACACATGTTGGTCCAGATAACAGTTTTGTGTTAAATCCGCCACATTTGTAACTTTGTTATTCGTTCTGAGGAAGCCTCGATGGACAAGAGGATGCAGGTAAAACCTACAGGCATAAACTTTAAATCATGATGCTAAACCATTGGACTGTGTTGCCATTGCGTTGATGCCATTTTGGGCCCCTATTGTCCCACATTGATAAGGATACAAAGTAACAACCAACAAAGCAGAGGGAAAATCACTGAGTAAAGCTGTCCAGATAGAGCAGAGTTTGTTTATTAAAAACACAGACAGCAACATGGATAAAAACAGATGCTTCTGATTCTTAGACACACTCCCTCCATAGCTGCTATGTTTATCACGACATAAAAGCCATGAATTTCTGGTATTTCTGCAAAGAGTCTTTGAAAGTCATTTGAAGATAATTTAGTATGACAGTTTAAACTGGTGAGGTGTGCCAGTAGAGATTGCCATTATGATGGTATTGTAAATAGTGTTGCCATTTTTTGGCCCCGATACCTATACCCGATACCTGGCTGTGCAGTATTGGCCGATACCATACCGATACCATCTGTTTGAAATTGATGTGTTTGTGTATATATGAAGAACTGCATACTACTTGGATGAAAAACAATTGCCATCATGGCTTTTTTTAAGCTGCTGACTACGAAAAAGACGAATACATAGTGAATCCAGTAGAACTTTTTATTGCCTATCTGGAATGGTTGACAATACACTGAAAAAAAGTGTAACATGTAACTCTTCATTCAAACTAAATCTTTTCACTCTAAACTAGATAAAATTATTGATTTGATTGTGTAACTCATTCTTGTTGGATTTTGAGAGATCAAGTTTGATTTAACCTGAATTAAATACACATAAAAAGGACCCAGACTGTGACAGAGTGGCTCAGTGGTGCCGTGGCTAGCACTGCTGCTTTGCACCAAGAAGGTTGCGGGTTCAATTCCCAGCCCAGAGTCTTTCTGCATGGAGTTTGCATGTTCTCCCTGAGCATGTGTGGGTTCTTTCCGGGTTCTCCGGCTTCCTCCCACAGTCCCAAAACATGACTGTTAGGTTAATTGGCTTCTGTAAGTTTTCCTTAGGTGTGTCTGTGAATGGTTGTGTTGCGATGGACTGGCAACCTCTCCAGGGTGTGTAGAGTTTGTAAGATGGGAAAAGGAAATTATTTTTGAAGTAAAAATCTGTGAAAAATCTTAAGTTGGTTATATTTAAATTAACTGGTTTCTATGCAAACATTAAGTCTTGTTCATTTAGTTAAAAGTAAGTATATTAGGTTGGTCCAATGTGAATATATATGTTTGGTTCGTCAACTAAAATGTTCAGAAAATCATTTGTTAACATCAGCATAATATTATCAGGTCATAACAAGCGATAACATTTCAGATTCTGTGAAGTCAAATATTTTAGATGTGATATCTGGACATACATTTTTTTTTAGTTTGAGTAAGGTTACTTTTTCCGGTGTAGTTGAATAAACTTTTGGCTCAAAAAATGGTATCGGTGCCCTATTTGTTGGTACCGATACCACCATTTTAGTGCAGTATTGGGGCACCGCCTGATACTGGTATCGGTAGCGGTGCAACACTAATATATATATATATATATATATATATATATTTATATAAAGTTTATAGCATGGAAAAATTGGTTTTACCTGAACAAGGCATGCAATGAGTAACTGCTACAAACTGTCAAAGTTGGAAAGTTTATGCAAGCAGCGTTCATCTTTAATGCAGAACCTGTAATTCTGACTTTTGGCTTCATTGAAATTGAAATTTCCAAATCGGAAGTTGGAAATTTTGCTGATTTTCCAGCGGCTCCAGTTGGCCTGGCACTGCTCCATCACACCAATCTTCATGTGTTTCCCTTACTGCTTTCTACAGTTATCAATGCAGGCTTTGTTTTTATGGACGTACTAATTTATAATCTACCAAGAAAGCTTGTATCGGTAAAAAAGCAGTAATGGAAACATTTGAGTTGAGCATAAAAGTATGAAAACGTAACACAGCAAAGTAATTTTATTTATAAATTACAGTCAAATAACCTGAATCCTTTATAGTTGATGTGAGAATGATTTAAATACTTAAAAATTCTGGTTTGTGAAGCAGGGATGAAGCTTTTATACTAGCTCTCCATTGAACATACTTGTGTATTTTATGTTCACAGTTGAAAAGCAAGAAAAGAGAGAAAAAAAAATGTAACTTGGTCACATCAGGATCTAATAAAAATGTGACCATTTTAAATAGGAATTATACTTTTTATCCCCACACACCTTTGGTGGATCAGACCAGATCAGAAATAAATAGAGCGGAGCTGGCTGAGAAGGAGGAAGGTTGAGGTTCCTTCTTTTCGTTAACTTCTAACGATGTCGTTAAAAGGTAACGAAATAGAGATGTGCATTTGGTGGATTACTCTACAGCTCATATTGATGACATGTAAAATGAGAGGAAATGAAGCACAGCTTTAATTCTAATTAATGACAATGATGAAAACAACTTTTACTCATTTCATCCCTAATTTAATTGTTTTTGAAAAAAACACAGATTAAATGTTTAAAAAAATATCTCATTCTTTATTTGTAAACAGGTTTTATTTACCAAAGGCGTAGTGTTTGGAAATAACCAGGTGGTTCTTCCTCAGGCCTACATACAAATTATTCCAAACAAGGAAAGACTTTAAACCAGGCTTTAGGAATGAAACGCTTGGTTTTCTTCACACAATTCACTTTGCTGATTGTTGCCTGGAGTGCGCGACCCCTTAAACAAAGGGGACCGTTCCTGGCATCAGCCTATCACCCCCCTCCTTCATTCAGGGAGTTGTAACCACCCCGTAAGTGTGAGCTCCGCTAGTGAAACACAATATCTTCTAAAACCGTGCACGTAGAGCTGCATGGCTGTAAGCCAACTACATTCAAAGCCCTGACAGCTGTTTTTTAAAAACCAGACGATGTCCAGACAGCAGCCAAAAGGGGTTTGCATTGTGAGGTGGTTCAAACTAAAGCTTTTAGGGTAAATACAGTTTAGACTGTGACCAACAGAGATTCTGTATCCCAGCATCCTGTGATGGAAAAACAATGCTACCAGCTCCTTCTTCATGGTTAGTCTCAGTAGAAAACGTTTTCTCTTACTCCTTTGTCTCTCTGTGGTCTCTGCACACTTCCAGACAGCCTGGAAAGACAATACCTTGAAGCCCCAGCAGCGTGCCCAACAACGTGGTGGGGTTGCCAGCCTTTCTTCAAAGGGAAGAGATGGAATCCAGACTCCAAGTTAGCGGCGGGATCCTCCAGGGCCACCCTGGCCACTGGCTTGCTCTTGTGTTTTTCTGGAAGACAACATGAGACCCAAGCCAACTCTTCTGGTACAATCCCACACAGCTAAGAAGGCTGGGACTCTTTCCAGTTTTCTTTAAATATCCAGACTGATAGAGGTTTTTTCACCTCCGCTTTTTTGTTTTTTTTAGGACCGACATTTAGCTGTTGTTGCAGTGAAATGTGGATAATAACACAGCTTGGATTTTAAATTCTCCTTTTTAAGCTAAATTGTTTTTATCAGTGTGTAGTCTCTTTCCATTAGAGCAATAGTAAACAAGAGAGTCATCATGCCCAGGTCAAAAGCAAGACCCAAGTCGGCACAGGAAGACATGTATGATGCAGAGGAGGCTCAGTCTCTGTATTTGCAAAAATGTTCAGAAAAGAGATCTCCCCTGAGCAAATACATCGAGGCCGAGCACCAGCAAGCAGGACTCTTCTCTCTGTCTTCGTTGGAGGCCATCGCTGACCTCCAGAAGAAGAGGAGGAAGAAATGTGGTGCCTGCGTTCCCTGTCTTCGCAAGGAGAACTGCGGTACCTGCAGCAACTGTCTGAACCGCAAGACTGGCAAACAGATCTGCAAGGAGCGTAAATGTGAGGAGCTGAAGAAGAGGCAGAGTGACGGCGATGCCAGCGAGGTATGATGAGCTTAATACTGTCTGTACAGATGTTTGCTTAATTAGATCAAAACTTGATCCAAGGTTTGACCCACATACACCAGTTTTAGCTAATTATTTAACCAATCATTCAAAAATATTTCTTTCTCAACTTTTCATGCTATGAAGCTATCATTAGTCATTTATTCAGGGGACCTGGAGTAAACAGGAAACATGGTTTAGTAGACTTCACCAACATTTTAGCTATTCTAATTGAGGTTGGGTAGTATTGGGTAGTTAGACAGAAAAAAATGAAAACATTTAACATTTTTTAAGCTATATCACTAAAATGTTCTAAACTCTTCATTTGAGATCTTGGAACATTTTAATCCTATACAGGGGTTGACGTTAAGGATTTTTACCACTTGCCCTTCGGGGCAAGTGACTTTCACATGTAATTGGCCCAGAAACAATTTTTACTTGCCCAGTATATTGTTTGATAAATATAGTTCCTAATATACATTTTTGTATAGATATATCAATGAAATATGTTTGTTTTTTTAAATGTTTTTTGTAATTCAGTAAGTTTACAGGTTCCTGGTGTATATGCAAGTGTCAGATAATGAACTCAAGCCTACATTACCGTGTTAACATGCTTTTCAATCATTCCTGCACATTCTTCTCAAACTAAACTTTGCTTTAAACTGTTGTGTGCTTGGAAAAATATAAATTCTAATGTTAAAAATCTAAAAAAACTTGTGAGGTTAAAAACGTACACTACTACTACTCACCAATTTAACATTTTTAGCTCTATAGCATTTAAATGCACCACTCCAATGTCTACGAGAAAAAAAATATATGAACATTTTTTAATGTATGACCACTGTACAGAAGACTGCCATATGATAGACATATTTACATTATTATTATTATTTTCCTAATTCCTGACTGATCATTTTTAATCTAGCGTGTATTATAGTATAGATTAAATTCATCATCCAGCTGCTGCTCTGCAGAATTCTCTCCCCAAGGAGAGAAAAATCACGCCATCTAGCGGAAAATTACCAGGCTTTTTCAAATCACGCGAGAATGTGTACAAAACAACCGGCAACGCTTGTGGGTCGTTTTCAGCGAATGTCGGTGATTTTAAAGTAATTTTGAGTGATAAATCTTTTTTTTTTTTTGCGATCATCGCACAATGAAATTTGTACTCTCCCGACAATAAAACTACTTGCCCCGGGCGATCGGGCGATGGTTAACATCGAGCCCTGCTATACCCATGGTGCTTTGCATGTGTCATGGAATGCCTGGAGATAGCATTTACACGCATGGCACACAAAAATGAACCGGACCATGCCAGACACAACCCAACCACACTAACATGGTACTAGTTCATCAGTAGGGCTCAGAGCGGTTCAGTTCAGGCTCCATTCTCAGAGAACAAAGAGCGCATGAGCAGACCGCGTTATCTCCTAAAGGCTGATTTATACTCAGAAACCAGGTCATCTGCGTGTGTGTCACAGTGAATGCAAATGTTCCCCCGCCCCTGCCTTACCATAGATCCGTAGTACCGTAGATCGCCACTAGGAGGCGAGGAACCGTGCTAGCATGGTGTGTAAATGGTCGTAGGAAGGAATTCTGCACGGTTAACTGATCCGGATCGGTTTTTAGAGGGTAGTGTAAATGGGGTTACTGTTTCCTTATCCACATTGTTCCAGTCATCTAGTTGCATCTCTTCAAAAAGGTTCATTTAGATGAACAATATCTGCTCCACAGCTGCCTGTAGACGAGTCAGGATGAGCTTCTTCTTTTCAGGCTGAATTTACAGAGCCTGAGCCAAAGCTGCTACCGTGTAAATGTAAAAGCCCTCCTATATGTGAAGAAATCAACTTGTACAAAAAGGTTTTGTATTGATAATTATAGGAGTTTTCCCTCCTGGTGGAAAACATACCAAACCACCTTCTGGTAATGGTTAGTGGCACCAGAGCAGATGGAGGTAGGAGTCCTGCCAACTCAAGCACATTTATTCAGCCATAGAAGGCTGTGTGGACTGCAGGCATGGTTTCAAATGTTCAGAATAAGATAACACAATTACAGCTTCACTCACTGCAAATAAATAGTTATGACAACATTTTATAAATGAAAGTATTTTAATGCCTCCTATATACTGGAGTATTTTCATAGTGGTTTTAGAGAACTGTGTTTGCATGGCTGGAGCTGTGATGGCTACCAAACGGCAGCGGAGGAGAATTCCTGCCGTTGCCTGTGCTTTGTCCTTTGACCTTTCCAGTTTCCAATAAGGGTGGGGGTTAACCTTAGGCAGTTTTGTATGTGTGTGTCTGTGTGTGTATATAGGGCTGTTAAGGAGCACAGAGAGAGAGAGTGGGGTTTCTAAAGTGTTTTCCTTTTGCCTTAATGGAGGTGTGCATGTGTATGTGCAGCAGCATCTTAAACACCGGGGGATGGGCTGTGAAACCAAAGATGGAGGGTGAAGTGTGGATGGTCAGCAGAAAAAAGTTAAAATAGACTACAAAAGGATATCAAAAGGACCAAATACTTAGAAAACAAGCTTATTTATTTTCCTTAGGCAAAGAAAACATTCCCATCTGAAAGAATGAAAGATGATTTACTGAAAAATGTAATTATAGAGAATAAAACTTATTTATCTGGTTTAAAGTTTCATATTCACGACAAAGAATCAAATAACAACATTAACTGAGAATAACTGTCTTGTCACATAAAAAGGGTGAAAAAGAACAACATGGAGGATTCTTAATTGAGAAAGATGGAGGCTCCTCCCAAACCCTGACCTTAAATAATATGGTGATAGCTGCAGGCATAAGTGGCATATTTACACATCAGGCAGTTTGTTACTCATCACATCTTCTCTGCACATAAATTTATGCACAGCGTCTATTAGGGAACATTTCCCTTTTTTTGTTTGACATGTTTCACTATTAGCTTGAATTTTCCAGCAGTAATCATTCTGGTCTGTAAGTATGAAAGTTGGAACATCCTGTTGGTTTCAGACTTTCTGTCGAGTTTGATGTTTTTCTTACATCCTGTTTCTTAGGTTCTTTCTCTTTCCTTTTTGATAAGCATCTGTTTCTAGCACATTATTGCATCTAACTGATTCATCATTTGAAAATTTGGGCTTAATACATTTGTGTTATAGATAATCATCTTTTTTTTCCATCTAAATAGTTCATAAATCAAGTTTTTCAGAGTAACACTTAATTAAACCAAAGCACAACAGTTTCATCACTTAAAGAAATCAAAAACTCTTTTGTAAAATATAATAAGAAAGGAGATTTTGACTCATGTTTGTACAAAAGAACAAGTGCACCAAGTGACCTTGAAAAAAACCTCTTTGAGCAAACATTTTATATTGAAGTTGAAGATGCAATTTGTTTACCCAAAAACACACTCTGAGTTCCTAGCATTGCTCTTCCAGTTTGGCTGGTCTTGTCTGTTCAGAAGCTTAAAAGTTTCTTCATTTTACGAAACTGTCTGACTGTGAAGGTGTGGTACAGTGTGTAGGTGTTTACAGATTGTTATCATGCTTTTGCTACATGATTTCAATAAAGATAAAGTTAGCAGAAGTTGTGTAATTTGACATTCTTTATATATATATATATATATATATATATATA